TTCAGAGAAAGAAGATGTTGTGGGTTTTTTTAGGTGATGATGGAGCTGTGTTTGAAGAAAAACTGTTGACAATTAGTGTGATGAAAAAACAGAATGTGTTAATGAAGAGTACATGTGACCTTCAAAAAATGCTCTTAGAGCCAAAAATATTACAAAATCTATCCAACCAGTAACAGCTCTGTAGTAGTGTTTTGTAGTGTCATCAGTGTATTGTCTGCTGCAACATAAAAGTTTTATTTCACCCACAAACTTGCAAAAGCTGTCTGTCATCTTTGTATTTCTTTATAAAAACAAATTGCACTGATGCTGTTTTAATTTTACTATTATAATACCTAGTTTTATTAGTCAGGGCCCCCACCCTTATCAAATGAGGAGTGTTGATGTAGGTGACCAGACCCCAGCCTCTTTGGGCATTTAGTACGATGATGATGATGATGATGATGATGATGCTGATGATAAAACCCACTACGCTGTAACACAGTACTGCTGTGGTGATCTAGTGTTAAATAAATTATTTAAATTTCAAAGTAACTCCATGTTATGAGTGTTCTTTCTGATTTGCTTGTGATATTTAAATCAGGTTGCTGCAGCATGTTTCTTTTTTATTTTATTTATATAGCGCCAATTCAGAACAGAAGTTATCGCATTGCACTTTTCATATATAGCAGGTCAAGACTGCTCTCTTTGTGAAATTCATTTTAAGAGTAAGTAAGTATGTAAGTAAATTTTATTTGTATTGTACCTTTCAAGATAAAAATCACAAAGTGCTTCACAATAAAATGTGATACAATACAACAAAGTTAAATACAAATATAGCCGCAAGCGGCAATTTGCGGTTTCATTCCCGCAATATCACCATCAAAGAAATTTCAGAATTTGAATATTGTTATGAAACACATTCTGCAAGTTTTGTAACAATTGGACAAGCATTTTCTGATCTATAGCTTTATTTGTTTCATTCCACATACAATTATTATGCATTTATAGCACCTCCTAGTGGTCGATTTGAGGGTTAGGGTTAGGATGAGGCTTGCAGTGTATGTGTGAGGTGCTCAATAGAATTTAAAATCATTCTTCTTACCTACAAAGCTCTTAATGGTCAGGCACCATCTTATCTTAAAGAGCTCATAGTACCTTACTACCCCACCAGAGCACTGCGCTCCCAGAATGCAGGGTTACTTGTGGTTCCTAGAGTCTCCAAAAGTAGAATGGGAGCCAGAGCGTTCAGCTATCAAGCCCCTCTCCAGGTTCCAGTTTGGGTTCAGGAGGCAGACATCGTCTCCACATTTAAGAGTAGGCTTAAGACTTTCCTCTTTGATAAAGCTTATAGTTAGGGCTGGCTCAGGTGAGTCCCTAACCATCCCTTAGTTATGCTGCTATAGGCCTAGACTGCCAGGGGATTTCCCATGATGCACTGAGCTCCTCTCTCCTCTTCTTTCTCTCCCTCTGTATGCAACCTCATCCCATTATTACATGTTACTAACTCGACTTCTCCCCTTTCCCGTAGTCTTGTGCTTTCTCGTCCCTCTCCTCTCTCCTCCTATCACTTCCTGCAGGTGTTTCTGGCTCTGGAGCTGTGGGGTCTGGATCTGTGGTTGCGGGTCGCCTGCTGCCCCCATGTTCCTGCTTGACACCCTCTGCTACAACTATTTACTATTCCTATTATTATTATTGTAATTATAATCATTAACATTATGATTATTATCAGTAACACTACTATAAATATCTGTACCATTATTCATTCAGTCTATAGCAACATCACCTTTACTGTCTGTACCTCTGTGTGTATATTGTGTAGGCTGCCTCTCTCCCCCTCTCTCTGTTCCTCGCTCTCTTTCTTTCTCTCTGTTCCCCGCCCCCCCCCCTTCACCCCCAACCGGTTGAGGCAGATGGCCGGCCACCCTGAGCCATGGTTCTGCTCGAGGTTTCTGCCTCTTAAAAGGAAGTTTTTCCTTGCCTCTGTCGCCTAGTGCTTGCTCTTGGTGGGAATTGTTGGGCTTCTGTAAATAACATCACAGAGTATGGTCTCGACCTGCTCTTTTATGAAAAGCGCTGTGAGATAACTGTTGATGTGATTTGGCGCTATATAAATAAAACTGAATTGAATTGAATTGAAATTCAGGGGAACCCAATGATACGTTTACTGACGGCTTTTACAAAGGTGTGCCAAGTAAGCCAGAGACTCTTTCGAATGTCATGGGGGGCTGGAGCCAATCCCAGCTGACATCGTGTGAAAGGCGGGGTACACCCTGGACAGGTTAGTAAGTAAGTAAAAGCTCTCAATAAACTCAACATGAATTACTGCTGCAAAAAACTTTCTCACGCTTTTATTTTGGAGGAACAATCACTTGTGAGGCCAGGCATTGTTCTGACAATGGCTCTGGGGATTTAATCCCGGTACCTAACAGCAGTGAGAGTACCAATAGCTAGCAGCTAGGCGGCTGTGGCTCAGGTAGAGCGGGTTGGCCGTTAATCGGAAGGTCGACAGTTCGATCCCTGGCTCCCCCTGCTTGCGTGTCGAAGTGTCTTTGGGCAAGATACTGAACCCCGATTTGCCCCTGGCGGCTATTCCGCCAGTGTATGAATGAGTTTGAATGCTAGTTTCCGTTTGAGCACTTAGGCTCAGTGTATGAATGGTGAATGCAGATGTAGTGTAAAAGCGCTTTGAGTGGTTGAAAAGACTAGAAAGGCGCTATACAAGTACGGAGCATTTACATTTAGCAAGTGGAGGTCTGTAACCTATTTTGCGTTCAGCGCTTCTTTTGTTTGGGCCTTGTTGTATGAAGTTTTAAAGCCAAAGTTTATGATAGGGTAGATTTACTGCCAGGGTCTGTTGTCCTCTCTCACGTGTGGTCGCGCGCAGCAGATACTACGTGTTACATAGGCAGGTTATAGGTAACGGAGGGAGGGGATCACAGCAAGCTCATCAGACGTTTCCTAAAAACATTGTTCATGAGTCCTGCACCTCGAGTCCGAGTCAAGTCTGAAGTCTTTTGAGGACGAGTCTGAAGTCTAGTCTGAAATCACTGTGTGTGCGACAGAAACATGCACACCAGAAGCACAATGGTGGTCATTTTGTAGGGTTCTGGCAGTGCTCCTCATGTTTCTCCTCACACAAATGAGCAGATACCAGTTCTGCTGCTGGGTTGATGCTCTTCTATGGCCCTGTCCAGCTCTCCTCTTGTAAAGGCCTGTATCCTGGGAGACACAGCAAACCTTCTTGTGACAGCACGTATGGATGTGCCATCCTGGAGTAGCTGGACATTGGATGGGCCCAGTCCCATGGACACTGTGCAACCTGAATGGGATGCAGGTACCGCCTCATGCTACCAGAAGTGACAAGGACACTAGCAATATACAAAACTAGAGAACAATCAGTCAGGAAAGATAAGGAGAGAGCAACTGTCTGTGGCCACCACCTACAAAGCCATTCCCTTTTTGGGGGTTGTCTTGCTATTGCCTCTCCAGTGGACTATAACGGGTGACATTGATTCACAATTATTTCTACTTCCTAACTAGACAGATTGATATCCCTGAAGTTTAAATGACTTGATTTTATATTGTTATGATTACATAATTTAGCAGTGTATTTAAACATCAGAATAACATACAACACAACACATACAAAATAATGAAATACTTTCTGAAAAAGAATGTTTGTATTTTGCTTCCAATAGCTCTTTTATAGGTTGTATTTTGTACTTGAGGACTGTTTAAAATATATATACCATATATATATACACAGGTGCTGGTCATATAATTAGAATATCATCAAAAAGTTGATAAAACTTGTATAATGTATACATTCATTCCGCACAGACTGATATATTTCAAGTGTTCATTCCTTTTAATTTTGATGATTATAACTGACAACTAATGAAAATCCCAAAATCAGTATCTCAGAAAATTAGAATATTACTTAAGACCATTACAAAAAAAGGATTTTTAGAAATGTTGGCCCACTGAAAAGCATGAACATGAAAAGTATGAGCATGTACAGCACTCAATACTTAGTTGGGGCTCCTTTTGCCTGAATTACTGCAGCAATGCGGCGTGGCATGGAGTCCATCAGTCTGTGGCACTGCTCAGGTGTTATGAGAGCCCAGGTTGTTCTGATAGTGGCCTTCAGCTCTTCTGCATTGTTGGGTCTGGCGTATCGCATCTTCCTCTTCACAATACCCCATAGATTTTCTATAGGGTTAAGGTCAGGCGAGTTTGCCGGCCAATTAAGAACAGGGATACCATGGTCCTTCAACCAGCTACTGGTAGCTTTGGCACTGTGTGCAGGTGCCAAGTCCTGTTTGAAAATGAAATCTGCATCTCCAGAAAGTTGGTCAGCAGCAGGAAGCATGAAGTGCTCTAAAACTTCCTGGTAGACGGCTTTTTGTAATGGTCTTAAGTAATATTCTAATTTTCTGAGATACTGATTTTGGGATTTTCATTAGTTGTCAGTTATAATCATCAAAATTAAAAGGAATGAACACTTGAAATATATCAGTCTGTGTGGAATGAATTTATACATTATACAGGTTTCACTTTTTGAATGGAATTACTGAAATAAATCAACCTTTTGATGATATTCTAATTATATGACCAGCACCTGTATATACATACTGTAGATAAATAAAGTATATCTTCTTCTTCTATACAATTAATCAGATCCCAGCACAACTTCAAAACATTTTCTTAATGAATGAAAAAAATTCAAAGAAGATAATATAACCAACAGTGCAATTGATTAGCTTGCATATCTATCTGAAGTTACCACAAATTTAATTAAAATTAGGTTAGTGGGTTAATTCAGCCAATTTCTACAAATTCACTGGGGAAAATAACTTCAAAAGATGCCTCTAATGATTTACTGGCAGATCATTAAATTGACAGATTTGCCAGTAGACTCTTTACACTATTTCCACATACCAGATAACGTACACTGTCACCCCCTGTTTGAGCCCTTGGTCACTGCAGTGCACTGTTATCGCCTTCTTGCCCATTTTAGTCTCTCCCTGTCAGCTGTGTGGAATGTTCAGCATATATTGTGCAGCCCCCCATCTAAGGGTCCAGCCGGCAGTCACCAGCAGTGTCTCAAGTCTTTCATAGAAATCATTCCTCCTTCTATGCTGTACAGACTCGCATTCCATGGGCTGCTGCTGAATCGGTAAGTAATGAGACATTTTCCTTTCGGTACTTCGACAAACAGTTAGAAAGTTGTAGCTGAGAGAAATTCCTCTGTGATGAGACAGCATGCGTATCCCCACATCTATTTTTACATGCCCTCCCAGTGCTAGAGCACATCGCCTGAGACCGAAAAAACACAGCAGCTGATACTGTCAAAGTGGGATACTATTATGTCGTTTATAGCTGGAAATAAAAAATCTAACATTTTCAACATAATTTATCATTATTATGTGAGCAAATGTACTTCTTTGAGTAGAACATACACAACCAAATATTTTTTTATATAATATTCAAAAGTTTTTTTGCCAAAAGCCTACAATACTGTTTAGAAATGTAATTGAATGTATATTCATATATGTGCAGTATCAGACACAAAACACATTGACATATAAAATGAATCAATGAATATATGATCCATAAAAATGAAAGAAGCAAAGTCAACAAAATGAAGTAAGTATAATTAAAAATAAAGAAAGACCAACAAAAATTAATTAATACAGTCCAGAAGTTTAGTTCTTGTCCATAAAAAGATTGGTTGTCTAGTGGCTGAAACTTAATGTGTTTCTTTTTGATGCAAATGTCAAATTTTCCATAGACAGAGACATCTTTAGTTTAGCCACGAGTTGACTTTTGTGTGTTCTTACAAAACACAGCAATTGTTTTAGGCAGAGAGACTATTTAAAGCTGCACTAATCAAAATATTTTATATGATAATGTTTTTAAATATTTATTACAATAAACATTTTGCCAACATATTCTGCTTAATTATGTGGTGTGACTGCAGTGCTACTGGGTAACCATCAAGGAATAATTTGTTAACATTCAGGTTGGAATAATAATGGAAAGATTTTCTCATTATTTGTCTTCTGCTGACATTGCATGAAAGCAGCAAATATTTGCAACCGCCAAACATTGTGCACCAATTTGCAACTAAAAAGCTGGATATTTATTAGTTTACCAAACCTACTAAAAAGAGAGTCCATACTGGACTTATATATTCATCAGGTGGACACAAACACAACTCCAAATGAATGATAATGTTTCTCCTGCTGCTGAATGTGAATCAGCAACTGTTGCCATAATAACTTTATAAGGTGATAATGTCTAATGTTGTGTTTTTTAAAACTTGTTTTTCTGTCCCCAATTGGCCAAAAACGTCAATGAAGACTGCTTTAAGTCACATAAAATAGGAAACATACCATACAAGTAAGAAGAACTTTAGGCACAAAAGAAGATCATAAGTTATATGTAAATACACATACATTTCCTTTCAAACATGTTTGTTAGAGCAAACAAATAAACTAAAAAGGTATTTTCAAAAATGAGCAGAAGTTCACCATGACCAGCATGTTTCCTAAGCAATTCATCATCTCCCACTCACACTTTCTCCAACCTTTCCCTAGTCTTCAAGGTGACCCTGCTGCAGCATGTCTACCCCAGAACTACCTGCCACTCTCTTCAACACATCGCCCTCCTTCTCGGCCACTCCAGGAGTCCTGGCTGTGGAACCCAATGCCACCTCGTGCCAGGAGTGGGAGCAGGTCCACCAACTCCTCTTCCATCTGGCGAACCTGTCCCTGCTACTGGGCCTTGTAATCCCCACTACCATGGGGCTGCACATGATCCTGCTGCGCCTTTTCCTGATGACAGGTCTGTCCACAGCACCCCCTGCTGACTGCATTCCTATGAAGATAATACTGTAGCTGGGAATATTACTGAAAACTAAATTTATCGAAGCCTCAACAGATCTTTACTCTGGTCAAAAGTTCCCTGTACGTCAAACCATCTGTAAGTTATTACCACAAGCCTGTTAAGGATTTGGTTTAGATTTGTTAACGGTGGGAAGGTTTGGATTTTTTAACAGTCCACCACAAAGAGGCCTTAAAAGGCTCTGACGATCCAGATAAAGGAAAGAGAGTATGGTGGATGGAAAAAGCACTTCCAACATGTTTATCTTCAGCTTGGAAGGCGAGTGGGGACAGGAAGTGGCAGGATTTATGTGTAATGTGGTTGTAATTTTAGTTCATTTATTTATATTGCCCTTGGCAAGTTATTCTCAGAGGGTTTTACAAGAAAAAATGAAAGAGGAGCAATAAACTAACAGATCTACCGTAGTTAATCTTGAAAGGTAACTTTAAAAACATCTTTTTAAAGTTACTTTTAGAGGGGTCATATTTATATTAATACAATAATACATGACAAAAAAAACTTTGCTCAAACTAAATTTCAATTTGTTGTCAGTGTAGTCATTGTATTTTATTCTATTGCCTTTTAGTATGTACAGTTAAAAGTCGGAAGTTTACAAACATTTAGGTTGAAGTCATTCAAACAAATTCTTTTAACTCTACAGATTTCATGTGAACAAATTATAGAAAGCTACTTCCCATTGGTCAGAAGTTTCAAGTGAATCAAGTGTTGACATTCAGTGTCTAGACTTCTCCTAACTCCACTGTTCTGTGTCTTTAACCTTGACAGGATGTGGTCTCTTCATTGTATGGGCGACTCTGTACAGGTGCAACCTGGATGTAATGGTTTGGAACATGGTATTTCTGGTGGTCAACTTCATGCACTTGTTCTTCCTCCTGTACAAGCGTAGGCCGGTGAGTTCTACATTATTATGTCCTCATTCACATTCTGATAGTCCCGTTACATTAAGGCCATTTGAGTGTTTCACCAAATTGAAAAAATTGGTTTTGGGAAACAGTTTTTATTTATAGTCAGGTTCAGTGTTGCGCTTTTGAGTCCTGTCTTGGGCAGGAAGCAACAAATCCTCCTGGGTTACTTTATGGTAATGAAATGTAGATAAAATCCATGGGTGCCACTGGGGGATTTAGTAAAATTAAGGGGCCTTACCCTCATGGGTAGAATCAGACCAGGGCTTTTGACAATGAGACAGGAGACCTCAGTTACTGCTCCTTTGCAAATTCACCAACTATTTGAATGTGTTTTCCCATCAACCACAGCAGCATGACTTAAGTGTGCTTTCCATGTTGATTTTCATTAAAATGCTGAATAAATGCTGTGGCTCTGCTCTGTCAGATTAAGATCGACAGGGAGCTGCGGTCAGTCTACAAGCGGATGTTTGAGCCTCTCCATGTACAGGAGGCTCTGTTTCAGAGGCTCACAGGACAGTTCTGCACCATCCAAACACTGAAGAAAGGCCAGGTGTACGCTGCAGAGGACAAGACCTCTGTGGACGAACGTCTCAGCATTCTCCTCAAAGGAAAGTATGTGCTATTGCAGCTGTTGTTCTGTGTCGTCCACTTTCTATATGATAGATATGTCTCAGTGATTAATCATTGTTCACTGAAGGCCCTAAAATATAAGAGTCTTTTTGTCTTAATGTTATTAATATTGTGGTGCCGAAATGACTAGTCAATTAATCAATAAGACAATGTGCAGAAAATGAATCGTCAGCAGATTTGATAATTGATTAATCATTTGATTAATTATCAACCAGAAATGCCAATCTGTTGTTCTCCAATGCGAGGATTTACTCTCACTACATATTTGTTTTTGTCTGTTTTTGAACATTTAAAAATATCAATACCTGTTAGTATGGGTTTTGAAAAAATCAATTGAGAAAAACCTCACTGAAAATTGCAATGAATTGACTATTTTCTGATATTTAATAGACTAAGCTGGAGTCCTATTGTTGTAATTCATGGTTTAAGGGAAGTTTTCTTTGTTCCATGGTCTAATTGCAGCTTCATAAACTTCACTACCCTAACAAAATTTGCCATAGCTCCTATTTTATTGTATTTTACTAATTTTATATTAATTTTTCATGCTCTTATCTTGTTTTTTTTGTATTATTCTTTACACTTGTTAAAGCACTTTGTAACTTGTTTTTGAAAAGTGCTCTACAAATAAGGATTATTATTATTATTATAGTGATGCCTCGATTCCCCATCTCACTTGATCTTCTGAAAATCAATTTAAAGGGGCTATTTGTAGTTTTTCAATGAAATCACTTATTAATAAATCAAATTTTCACTCCCTTATTGTCAATGGGCTGTGGCCTCACTTAGAAATTAAGCACACGCCTGTTATCTCTGTTATTTGGAATAGCCACTATTGTGCTTTTAATGTGAAGGCACCGGTTTGGGATGTAGCTCTGTGCATGCTCCCGAGCCGAGCAGTTGCTAACTTTATATAATATGTAATGTTATGTGTTTCCACCAGCTAACGCAATCCACATAACCATCCTTTGTGCCACCAATGTAACGCTACAAAGCAAATGTGGAAAGATTTATACTAGCTGTGACAGCCCTGCCTAGTGGGATGGTAAATCGTAGTTATGTAGTTGAGCATAGGCGCTGCCCCTATATATAATAGCTATCGCTATTGGTTTTACCATGCGCATGCGCAGCACTGAAAATAGATTTGTCTACGCCCACCCACGTTGTGGGCCTCTATTACGTTTTCACCTTGTGTATATACAACAGTGAGACCTAGCCATTGGCTCCCATAATGCCTTTTATTCAGCACTGAGAACCACAGGACCAGGGAGGCCCACAAGTTAGAGAGCTCACCTATACTCATAGAATCTGGAGTTACAATACCTTACTGTTCTACCCTCTAAGGCTATCACTATTGGGTTAGAGGCAAAGCAGAATGAGTCAACGCCTCACTGGGCCCATAAGGTACCACCAAGCACAGACCCACCTGCCAAAAACCAATATAATAAGCCACCCAGTCCCCCGCAGCCTTGTGGCATTTGTGATGACGTATGCGCATCGATGGCGCACAGCCAAGAGCAAGGCACCCTTGGCCAAAAGGAACTTCAGGTCCGCTGTTTCCAAAGGCTTTGTTCAATGCGTGTAAAACCAGCGCCAAGTCCCGCTGCGGAGCAGCAAGCCGTGACACAGGCCTATGCTTCCGCACCCCCTTCAGGAAACGCTTCACTAGAGGGTGTGTTGAGCACCTCGCCCTGGCAGTTTATGTAGGCCGCTGTGGCCTTGTTGTCGGTGCCTGCAGTAGAGGGGCAAAGTGCTGGACCACCTTCAGCACCGTGAGGAGCTCTTTGTGGAGAGGCATGTGAGTCCGCCACAGGCCACCCACCACCTGGGAGAGGCACGTCCCGCCCCATCCCCAGCAGGGAGGCGTCTGTGAAGACATATGAGATGTGGGATGTAGGGCTGCAGCTAACGATGATTTTAGTATTCGAAGCTTCTATATATTATTTTTTAACGATTCATCGATGCGTCATTTAAGAAGTACTTTTGCTTGGTGGCAGCGGCGGCACCCCCACCCCCGGTAACGGGATCAGCTGTGCACGTTTATAGGTGATAGATATTTATTAGTCCTTTTGGAAATTCATAGGGTGACCAACCAGACAGCTGCTTTACAAACACAAACATCACTCGAATGCTATACAAGTTATACTACAGGCTCGTGCAGACTACACGACTTTCAGCGTCGGCCGATTGCCGTGCAGTTCAACTTGCCGTAACATGACGGCAGTCTTGAAGTCGTTGTGGCGTTCACACTACTTGACTGATCAGTGATAGGGGGTCACACACACTACAGGAGCTGACAACAGCTATGGCACCCAACGCTGGTTTCCAAACACTTTTATCAACACACGTGAAATGTGAAACGGGAAATGAGTGATCGCACACGAAACAGCTGTTGTTTGTTATTATAAAGATGGCAATTATAAAGACAAAGAATCTGGGTGAAAGGATGGATTAGTACACACAGGTAGCAAATGCTCTGTATTTGTATAGTGCCTTTCTAGTCTTTTTGACCACTCAAAGCGCTTTTACATTACATCCATACACTGAGCCTAAGTACTGAAACAGAAACTAACATTCACACTCACTCATACACTGGCGGAACAGCCGCCAGGGGCAATTCGGGGTTCAGTATCTTGCCCGACACATCGACATACAACTAGGGAAAGCTAGCTATTGAACCGCTGACCTTCCGATTAACGGCCAACCTGCTCTACCTCCTGCGCCCCAGGGTAGCAGGGATTGTCTGAGCTACAGAGAGCGTAAGGGGCGGTAAAAGGTGCAGCCCCCCAACACCCAGTTAACTGTTGACTGTGAGGTTATAAAAAGGAAAACAAACGCACGTGTGCACATTTTCAGCTGAGGACTGCGGCTTACTTTGGCTTCAACTAAACAATCAATCATGATTTCCGTTAAATGCTAAAGTTGCTGTTACTGTTACCTTGTCTGTGGTCAGCTGGCAGAACACTGGCTGCTTTCTGATAAGGCGCCGTCGTGCTGTTGCCGAGGCAACAAAAGTTTCGTATTACGGTGGACGGACGGTAACATTACAGAGTTGTTGTTTTCTTTAGCTTGAAATAATCCCATACTTTGGACACTTTCTTTTTTGTCCCTCGCTGTTTTCTCTCTCTTCCTCCACTTTGCAAACAGCTCCATTATAATCACGTCATGTTCACAGCGTAAACACAATGTGCGACAGTAATAAATGTCCCTGCGAAACACTGTGCTGTATACTTACATGGATTAAATGAAGCATTTTATGAATCGATTTTATCTATTCAATCGATGAATCATTTCAGCCCTAGTGGGATGTGACCCTGCCCAACAGAACCCCGACCGACAGAGAGAGGGTCCCGCCAGTAGGCCAGACAGAGGAACGGCCAACAAACGCCGCTTCTGCATGTTAGCGGCAGCCACAGAGCCTTTTTTACAAAACAGCTTACACACAAAGAGCAACAACGTTATCACACACATTCCCAACCCATAGCATACCAGTCGCTTGCTCTGAGTGACAAGGGTCAGACCAGCAGCAAACAATCCGGTTGCTAGATGTTGTTAGTCGCAGCTGATGTCGAACAACGTGGCACACGGGGTTAGCTGATCCACGGGCAGACTGTGTGTTAATGTTGGGCTCCTGCTAGCTACACGTTAGCTCCCTGTTAGCTCAATGTTAGCCTGACATTAGCTGCCTTTTAGCTTAACATTAGCCTCACCTCGCTGCCAGAGGAAGGCTCCGGGCCAGACAATGGGGCCATATCCGGGGTTGCCTGGGAGAGTCCCCCGCGGCTACAGTTGGGAGGACAAATGAGCTGCATGGAAGTCCAAACATGAAGTGGAACGGAGTCAGCCCACTCAACGGTGACAGATGAATGAGCAAGAGGGGGAAAGGTTTACAGTTTCCTGTCGGCTGAGCAATTCTTAGACGCCGCTCTAGCCGGTCTGCTTGAAGACATGATCTGCTAGTAATCTTCTGCTTTTTAGACAAGCTAAGTGCTGAAGAAAAATGGGAGCCAATGGCCAGGTTGTACACAAGGTGACGATGTAATAGAGGCCCATACTGTGGGTAGACGTAGACAAAGGTTTTTTCAGTGCTGCGCATGCACACATAGGGGCAAGGCTAGACTTGGACAAAAAATTGGCCCTGGCATTTTTTGCCCAGGCGACCCACCAAAATCAGTCAGACACCCCTCACCACTACACCATCCTTCCATTTAAGGGATCAGATTAGGGGTGTGAAACACTTAGCCCATTGTAACATTGTAAAAGACTGGGGCTATGACAACAAGACAAGAATATATTTTAATAGGCCTACTATTTAGAAAAAAGATGTATCAACGGAATAGTTGACAGGAGGGTCTGGGGGTCCTCCCCTAGAAGATTTTGAGCATTAAACACTTAATTTCCTGCATTTTGGAGACATTTTCTGCACCAGGGGAGCACAAAATTCAGGTGGCAGGTGACAATTCAGAATATAAAAATATAATAGTATACAATGCAGTAATCAGTGGCTTTTTTAGCTTAAGTTGCTTTTTTTAAACAACACAGTTGTCTTCTTCATTTATATTGCACTGCAGGCTTATTGCGCGATAAACCTTTAATAGAATTTTTATTTGTTAATTAACTTGGTGCAAGCTATTTTTCAGAACATCTTTAACCAATGCTTTCAAAAAGTGGTGGCTACATGTCCCCAGTGTCCCAAGTGTTAATGACCCTCCTCCCAGCTCCCTCCCTACAGGTTGAGCTACTCCATGCTTACCGCTTCACCTCCACTCTCCTCCTGCTCACTTTCTCACTCCGCCCTGTCACTTTGTGACTTGCTAACACAGCGTCCACGGCTCTCTTTTACTCCTTCAAGTGCCTGTGCCTGCTCTACGTCGGGTACTGCAGCTGATGTTTAAGCTACTGCAGCCCTGGTAGCAATCATATCGGTTGTTTTTGCGGATTTGGCGGCAGCCTTCTGAAGATTTTTTGAGGGGGGGGCAAGCGTAACACAGGAAACAGAGAACAAAGAGGGGAGGGGGCTAGTAAGAGATGTGATTGGGCCAGTGTCAGTTTAGAAAATTACCCAGTTGGCCCATTTTTAAAAAACAATTACATAAATACAGAATTTATGTTACATCGACCCCAAAGATGCATCGGCCCACCGGGCATTTGCTCGGTATGCCAGATTACCAGTCCAGCCCTGTATAGGGATAAACCCAATAGCGATACCCTTAGAGGGCAAAGCCTATGCGAAGTAGAACTGTATGGTGATGGGCAGTTTACTGTTTTCTCTTTTGTCCCTGAAGTTATCAGTGCCCGTAGGCCAGATTGGGAACACCTGGCCCAGACACTCTGTGAAGATAAATACTCTGGCCCTTTTGCTCTCGTGCTCTTTCTGATCTATTCCCACTTTAACCCATTGGTTAAATTATGTTTTGTTTCCACTCATCAACACTCAACCTTCACACTATTAACTCATCCACATTTACACCACTGATGTCCAGGTGCGGCATGTTCATTGGGGCGACTGGGCGATGTACCGCCTAGCTGGGAAAAAGGCAGGAGATTTTTCTCACACTTTGTACCACACTTCTACCTGACAGTTTGTCTCTGAATATCGCTGTCCAATCAGTGTCAAGTCGTGTTCCGTGGAGACCCTCCTCTTTTGGTGCGATTTCAGGCTGGTTGTAAATTGCCCAGATCTCTCTTATAGACGTTCATGTAAAGGCAGTTTTTTTCGAGCTGCGGCCGCTGCAATGCGATCTCTATAGATTCCGGGAGGGCTCGCACTTACGTCATGCGCCCAGCAGCAGAGCTACGCTTCTGCCAACTGAAAACGACTCGGTGGTCCTCCAGCTTGTTGCTCTCACTATGAGTTTTGGCAGTCCTCAGTATCCATCTCCCTATTTCTCATGACCTCAAAACCGGGTTATGACAGGCAGGAGCAGACAACATTAGCTCGGATCTTCCACTGTTTGCTTCGTACGTTCAATTTAGATGTCATTTTACCGATACTCAGGTACACCACCATCTTAGTCTCTGTAAATTTACGTGACCCACATAATATAGAAAAATATGATAAATGCAGTAAATGTAACGTTATCATGTAACGAGCATGGATTAGTTCAACCTCAAGCTGATATAATATTAACGTTGCTGTAACGGTGCAGTATCTGAGTTTCCAGCATGTTGTGTGAAGCTGTCTCCCTGTCTGTCTATAGCTCCTGTCACACTGCCTTGTACCTGGGAGGATTGTTTTAAAACCGCACAAATTAATTATTATTATGGGAACTTAAGGCTTAAAATCACTTGCATGTTTTATGTTAATAATTATTAGAGTTTTGACTTTGAAATTTTCTGTGTGACAGGTTAAAGGTATCATACAGAGGCCATTTCCTCCATAACATCTATACAAATTCATTCATTGACTCTCCAGAGTTCAGGTCCACTGAGATGCACAGAGGAGAGAAGTTCCAGGTAATAAGAAAATCAGATAAAATAAATTAACAAACCCATTTGGGCCATCACTGCTTAATTGCCCAAATGATTAAAAATCTAAAAAGGTTAAATACATCTAAAAATAAATAAAAACCTTAATGACTGCAGTGGTGAATAATGGGTCTGTTTCATGGATCGCTCACAAGTTCTTTAAAAACATGTTGTGTTTGTTTGACAGGTGACCATCATGGCAGAGGAGAATTGTAAGTTCCTGTGCTGGTCTCGAGAGAGGCTTACCTACTTCCTGGAGTCAGATACTTTCCTTAGTGAGGTGTTCAGGTACCTCATTGGCAAAGACATCACCAACAAACTGTACTCTCTGAATGACCCCACACTCAGTGACAAGGTGGGTCCAGCTATAATAAAAAGGTTTTAAAAGCACAAACACTGGAAGAATAAACACATCAACATCATACTAAACTAAAAAACTACAACAATGCTTATTGTACTGATAGTGTCGATGATGTTGATGATGGATGTGTCTTAGGCGGTGAAGAAGATAGACCGTCAGCCCAGCCTGTGCTCTCAACTGTCTATGATGCAGATGAGGAACAGCATGGCAGGCGACTCTGATGATGTCCTTAACCAGATCCTACGAGGAGGATCTGCTGGATCATCGCTCCGTAGGTCAAATTATTACCCAACAAGATGTTTTAATGTGGTTCCTGTTTAATGTAACAAAAAAAGTTAACGTTTTCCACTAGAATTTTTAAGTTAAGACTGCTGGCTGAATTACATTAATTCAAAGCAATGTTTTGAGTATGGTGAATTAACTTTTAGGCCACAATAAAACACATTTCTAAGTTACATGAACTTAATTGTCAACATGAATGCAAGTATTTAAGTTGATCCAACATAATGTTTGAAGTTAGGTGAAGAAGCTTTTTGGCCACATAAAACACATTTCTAAGTAACATGAACGTAATTATTAAGTTAATCTCTGCAAGTTAAGTTGTGTGTTATCGAGTTATCTTTAGTATTTCTTCTCATCTGAATCATAGTCTAATCATGTCTATCTACTTGTAGTTCATAAACGTAGCTAGCCTACATGCTAACCAGAGCGGTGGCTAATGGCTAATCCCATATTAACTTAGCTTGCCAAAACGTTTTCCATGGCTGCCTGGCCACCTATTATTCTCTTTATTTAAACCTACTCAATCAGTGACAGGCTACAGCTACTGGCACACAGACTGTACTATCAACACTGCTCAAATTTCAGAGTAAGGACTTCCAGATTTCGGTATTCGGTTACAGTAGGCTATCACCAACAGAATCCTGAGCAAATGCAAATATGTGTAATTAAGCATAAAATGACTTACCATTCAACACATTACGCTTCAATGAGTTTCAGCTGTGGCCCTGTGGTCACTCATCTGCCAACATGCCCGCACATGCAAGAGAGGGAAACTGTGGGCCATTTAAACGTCAACAAATTGTATTTTACGTTAACAGAACTTAAAATTTTATTATTTTTTGATTAACTGAAAATCAAAAAGTCATGATAGTATACTGAATCAATAGGCATAATTTGTGTGTCGTCCAAGCTCAATAAAATAACAAATACAAGTAAAAAGTCGAACAGTATCTCAGAACTTAATTTTTTATTTCACAACAATATACAATATTTAAGTAATGACTAAAGGTCCCCTGAATTAGTTTTTAGAGTGCAGTTTATGGTAGATTATTCCATTTGTTGATTTCCCTAATCTAAACCCAAAACTTACAATGATCCGACATGTTCATAGTAATACAAGTAAATGTAGAAAATGTAAAGTGATTATGACATCATTAACATTTTTTGATGGTAGTGGAGAGCAGGGGCGAAATTTTTCAGAAAAACCCAGCCCTGCGACCCGACCCCGGATAAGCAGATGAAGATGGATGGATGGATGGATGTTTCAGACAGAGATATATTTTTGCTGTGGTCAGTAACTCACAGGTGTGGTCTATCAATATCAGGTGGTATTTTTTACAAATGTAGAACGACTTCCGTATAGTTTCACTTAACATAACACACTGTTACTTTCGACCCCGTCAGCTGGGACAAAAGTAACACAACAATACAAGCTAGATTTTTTGTGTTACCACCCTTTAATAAATAAACATGACTGTGACCGTGTAATGTGTAACATCTTTTGTTCTTTATCTTAAAAAAAAAAAAATGTATTACATTTTTATTTTAATATTCTGTTTCACAGCCCAAACTTAAAATTGTTTAGAATATTTCATATAATATTAAGGGTATATTATAAATATGCAAATGTGTGCACCTAAAACAGGGGGAAAATGGAAAGATGGACATTGTATATGAACCTGACATGATTAAAATAAAATAAGACTTTACTGATCCTGCACTGGGGATATTTGCATGTTGTAGCAGTTTCAGAAACTGTGAAAAAGTGAAACATAATTTAGAAAGACAGGACAAAAATGAAAATAAACAATAAAATTAAGATAAAAATTAAAAAGCTATTTACAGAATAGCCCTATACAAATTTCAAATTAATTTAAAATTGTTTTAGTAAGAACAGTATGAGTGATCTGCTTTTTGAGTGCTTTTTACCAACACCTACTACACTGACCTCCTTAGGAGACAGGTCAAAATAAATATCAGCCGCTCTCTTAATATAAGCATGCTGCTTCCTCTCCTAATGCAAGGAGAAGACAAAAGAAACACCTCAGGTTTCCAACACATCAGGTTTAGCGGGACAAAAGTAACAAGTGTTACTTTCGTCAAAATCATGCGATATTTGGCAGCTCCATCAAGGGTTGCATGCTGAAGGGGCTGTCACAGCTTGGCCTGCAAATGCAGTCAGGGCTCTGAGGAAATCGCTTTGTTACTTTCGCCCCGATTTACCCCTGTATCATACATGTTGCTTATTACCTCAAAGTTTTAAAGAGGTGGTATTAAGCTCATCTTCTAATTGATTCAGTTGTAATATTTTTGTGCTTCTAGAAAAATCACCTGGGATCAAGACCTCCTCAAAGATGAAGCCCATAGAAGAATGCATGGAGGACGATGTTTTTGAAGAATCTGTACCCTCCAAGTCTCACCGAATGCCCAGCACTTCTACTAAGGAAGTGTAACCAGCAGGGGACGCATCACAAGATCAAATGCATATTGTGTAGGTCTGTTTGGCATCGGGGGGTGGGATCACTTATGATAATCAGTAGTGAGGTTTTTACATTCAAGTTCTTATAGATTTTTCTCATCTTTTACTAAATGTATTTAAAATTTCAAAGGTTGTTGAGATCTACTGATTATTTTCTTGATGACAGACATGATGATACTGCTTATTCAGCTTCAAAAAACTTATTTTACTATTCTCTGTTCTGCTGCTGTCTCCACTCCTCTCCTGTCCAACTATAAACACAACACATTAAATGAATTAAGATTAATGTTACATTAATTACACTGAGGAAATAAGAAAAGCAAACCACCACCATCGAGTTTCTTGACAGCTTCATTGATGTTAATGTTTTCAATGTAGTAAGTCCCTGCTCTGGGGACCCACAGGTGGTCATTTGAGTGAGTTCCCAGAAAGGTTACATTGCACTTACTTAAATTAACAAGCGTAGTTGTCGTCAATTTGAGTAATATTGGGAGTCATTTTCACTTCACCTGGTTCACTTTGTTGTCTCCACTGTGGCTCTCTGCTCTGCTGTTGTGACCTTGCTCCATGTGTGTTTAAACTCAGCCCCAATACAGAGAGCAGGATTTCCATGATTTCAACATGGACTTGTATGATGTAACATTTACTGCGTCCTTTTGGATTTTGATGTTTTGGAAATGCATGATGCTGCAGCTTCCAGCATACCTGTAGCCAGTAGCCATGACACCTCTGACATAGAAATGCCACTCCGGGGACCCTGAAATGTCACACCTTCCCATTGTCTGTATGGGTAGTTGCTTGATTTGTCCAGTCACCTCTAAAGAATCATTAAATAGATTAGCATTAAATTGAGCTTTGTATTCTCAAATATCAGTATCAATTACTGTTTGTGATTTCACTGTTGTACCCCATTAAATATATGTGATAATTGATCACTCACTTTGTTGTTTGTTTTCCCAGATAAGAATAATCAGTTTGAGTTTGAGTTAAAACTGAATTATTAAAGGCAGCGTAAAGGTGTGATGGTCAAGTATTTGTAGGACTGTAGTGCCCCCCTGTGGCCATAATATGCCATCCCCGTTTGGTTCATTACAGTAAAGTCAGTTACAGTTGCACTACCAACTTGTACCTCACCACAACAGTTCATCTCACATCCAAAAAATGCAATAACACCACTTCATACACATTTTTCTACCAATAGTAATACTTTGGTAATTATATATTGATAATAAAAATCCCAAACAACAGCACAACAAGGTCAACACACCAAACCTTGAAGCAGATGGGCTACAGTAGCAGAAGACCACACTGGGTGCCACTCCTGTCAGCTGAGGCTCAGGCTCACCAAAACTGGGCAATAGAAGATTGGAAAAACGTTGCCTGGTCTGATGAGTCTTGATTTCAGCTGCGACATTCAGATGGTAGGGTCAGAATTTGGCGTAAACAACATAAAAGCATGGATCTATCCTGCCTTGTATCAGCGGTTTCAGGCTAGAGGTGGTGGTGTGATGATGTGGGGGATATTTTCTTGGCACACTTTGGACCCCTTATAAACATAGTTATACATGTATTCTTTATTAAGCTCATCTATAATGTGCTTAATAATTGTATTTTCATACTTTCATACATCGATTCACTGTTTATAAACGAAGTATTGTTTTAATGACAAACCATTTATATATGAGTTGTTAATGGTTCATAAGATCATTTGGAAAGTTAAAAAAATTATTACATAACTGTCTGTTTTTTGATACTTTCCTGAGAAAGAATATAAATAATCTCAGCATAACTCATAAATCTACTAGTGGCAAAGCCCAAAGGATGCTACAACCGAAGACTACCCGAAAGATGCCCCAGCTAACGTTACTGGGTAAAAGCCTCACCGTACAGTTTCTCTGAACTCCTCATCAAAACTCCAAGATCTGCGCTTCCAGAGATCTGCTGTGATGGGACCAGCAAAGGTTGCTTGGATGGTCTGTTGAAGGACACCAATCTTACTCCCCCTCTCCGTCCCCCCAGTGCTTTGATCAACCGCTAACTTGACACGTCTAATAGTGCGTGTTCATAGATGTTTTATGACACTTAATAATACTGCAATTCATGATTAATTGTGGTAGTTACTAATGGTGAGTAAAGTATTTTGAGTGAGCTCATATAAAGTGAGGACAGTCTATGCCTCATTAACCATTTACAAAAGAAATTTAACGGCAATAGATCTTCTCTAAACATTTGTTTAATTCAGGTAGTTACAAAGCATTTACTAGTTGTTAGTAAGTACTTTGTGTGAGCTCATCTAAAGTGAGGACTATCTATGCCTTACAAAGCATTTACAAATGATACTGTAACACAATCATGAGTTTTCTTCTGAACGGAAAGAGGAAACGGACACAACACAAAGTGATACAGAACATATTATTTATTACAAAATGCCTTTTAGCCATTCTTTGATAAACCATTGCTGCATAAACAGGCCACTTCCGCTGCAGACCTCTTCTGTCAGGCCACCTCCACTGTCAGCCTGGTCAGGACAGGAAATACACGCAAAAACTACAAAATAAAAGCATGCAATTTGAGAGGAAACACATTAAAAATTATAAAGTTTAATCACGTAGACATAGGGAGAGGGTTTTTGTTGTTGATTTATATTTAATTATTTAGTCAACATTGTAACGGGAAACTAGCAGGCTAATTCCTTAAATATAGCATATTGATTTGAGCCTATTCTACTAGCAACAAAGCCGACTGTATATCGCTTCAATCATTCAACTAGTAACTATCTTTTTTTACAGGCACAATTTATTTATTCTGTCAAAATATGACGTTAATTCCGTTTATACAGCTAGCCACATCCATTCAATTCACAGAAAAACATCATCGTTGATTAAGAGTGCAACTTAGCCTCTCTTCAAAGGTAAATTATGAATGAGAAGTGTGTGTGTGTTTCTTTTAGGATGACTGGAAGAGTAATATACTATGGCATTTTACTGCAATCATCTGAATTTAATAGGAAAAACGGATGACTGTGGAAACTGGACTACAATTTGAGCTTCGTGGGAGTCTGTAGTATAATGGACGTTACCAGCGGGATTAAATTCCCGTGAGTTGGAATGAGCTAGATACATGAAACTTGCGGGAATAACTGGAAATGGTGTGCATCAGCTTCCGTAGAAATATGAACTCAATCGGCCACATGGTGGCGCTGTAAATAAGGCTTAAAAATGCAAACTTTGAAAGGCCATGCCTCTTACACCGTAAGTGACTTAAAATTTCTCACACAGGTGCAGCTTAATGTGTTCTACAAAAAAGCCTCTGGCACCATTAAGGTCCGACTATAAAATTTTCCCGCCATGAAAATCACATTTTTGACATCTCCTCCTAAACCATAGCTCCGATTGCAACCAAATTTTCAGTGAATCATCATTCGATCAAGCCCATTAAAAGTTGTATAAAGCATGTCAATATCTCAATTACCTTTCAAGATATGGACCAATGAACTTTGAAAGGGGCATGGCTCTGGACATAAATGAACATAAATCAGCAACTGTAGGGCCAATCATCACAAAACTCACAGGATATGTTCGGATAGGTGCCTCGGATAGATATATCGATCAAGCCAGATGAAAGTCATCAGTTAGCTAAACTTCAAATGTGCCTTCAGGATGTTAAAACCTGGATGACCTGTAATTTTCTAATGTTTAACTCAGATAAAACTGAAGTTATTGTTCTGGGGCCCAAGCACCTCCGTGACGCATTGTCTAAAGATATAGTTTCCCTTGATGGCATCGCCCTGGCCTCCAGCACCACTGTGAGGAATCTTGGAGTTATCTTTGATCAGGACATGTCGTTTAAGTCTCACATTAAGCATATTTCAAGGACCGCCTTTTTTCACCTATGTAATATTGCGAAAATCAGGAACATCCTGTCTAAAAATGATGCTCGAAAAAGTCCATTAAGACTCTTCAGCTGGTCCAGAATGCTGCAGCACGTGTTCTGACAGGAACCAGGAAAAGAGATCACATTTCTCATGCATTGGCTTCCAGTAAAATCTATAATAGAATTTAAAATCATTCTTCTTACCTACAAAGCTCTTAATGGTCAGGCACCATCTTATCTTAAAGAGCTTTTCAATTCAATTTTATTTACATTGCGCCAAATCACATCAACAGTTATCTCAGTCTAGACCGTACTCTATGATGTTATTTACAGAAGCCCAACAATTCCCACCAAGAGCAGCACTAGGCGACAGAGGCAAGGAAAAACTTCCTTTTAAGAGGCAGAAACCTCGAGCAGAACCATGGCTCAGGGTGGGCGGCCATCTGCCTCGACCGGTTGGGGGTGAAGGAGAGAGAGAGAGAGAGAGAGAGAGGAACAGAGAGAGAGAGAGCAGGAGAGGAACAGAGACAGAGAGCAGGAGAGGAACAGAGAGAAAAAGAGAGGGATGGAAGGAGAGAGAGGGGAGAGAGGCAGCCTACACAATATACACACACAGAAGTACAGACAGTAAAGGTGATGTTGCTATAGTAGTGTTAATGATAACAATCGTAATGTTAATGATTATAACAATAATAACAATAGGACTAGTAACAATAGTCTGAAATTTCTTTGATGGTTATGAACCCGCAAATATTATTTTGTATTTAACTTTGTTGTATTGTATCACATTTTATTGTGAAGCACTTTGTGATTTTTATCTTGAAAGGTACAATACAAATAAAATTTACTTACTTACATACTTACTTACTCTTAAAATGAATTTCACAAAGAGAGCAGTCTTGACCTGCTATATATGAAAAGTGCAATGCGATAACTTCTGTTCTGAATTGGCGCTATATAAATAAAATAAAAAAGAAACATGCTGCAGCAACCTGATTTAAATATCACAAGCAAATCAGAAAGAACACTCATAACATGGAGTTACTTTGAAATTTTAATAATTTATTTAACACTAGATCACCACAGCAGTACTGTGTTACAGCGTAGTGGGTTTTATCATCAGCATCATCATCATCATCATCATCATCGTACTAAATGCCCAAAGAGGCTGGGGTCTGGTCACCTACATCAACACTCCTCATTTGATAAGGGTGGGGGCCCTGACTAATAAAACTAGGTATTATAATAGTAAAATTAAAACAGCATCAGTGCAATTTGTTTTATAAAGAAATACAAAGATGACAGACAGCTTTTGCAAGTTTGTGGGTGAAATAAAACTTTTATGTTGCAGCAGACAATACACTGATGACACTACAAAACACTACTACAGAGCTGTTACTGGTTGGATAGATTTTGTAATATTTTTGGCTCTAAGAGCATTTTTTGAAGGTCACATGTACTCTTCATTAACACATTCTGTTTTTTCATCACACTAATTGCCAACAGCTTTTCTCCAAACACAGCTCCATCATCACCTAAAAAAACCCACAACATCTTCTTTCTCTGAACGCAGACTGTTCAAAACTAGTGTGGACTGAATCTGTGGCAGATAATTCTTAAGCTTATAAAATGGCATCATTTCTTTGAGTTTTCTCTATGTGTGGAAAGTCTCTAATTGTTCAACAGCAATCACTGCTTAGCACAGCCAGTATATACTAAATGGGACAAAGTTGGGTCTAATTTTCGTACTTATCTTTTGGTTACAACAACAGTGTACTTGTGCCGTTAGCACTGATACCTCATAGCAAGAAGGTTCTGGGCTTGAACTTGTGTAGAGTTTGCAGGTCCTCCCCGTGTCGTGCAAGTTTCCTCCAACAGTCCAAGGACATGTAAGTTAACTGCTGACTCTAAATTGCCTGTAGGTGTGACTGTGAGTGTGAATGGTTGTATATCAGCCCTGTGATTGACAGGCTACCTGCCCCCAGCGACCCTCTAGAGGATTAGCGCATATAGCTGATGGATGGAACTTTGTATTTAATAGGGCTGTCAACCCGAAATT